CCCTAAACCCTAAACCGTCAGCACTGCTCAGCCGAGGTTCTGTTTATAGCCAAGTTCCCCGATGAGGCAGCCTGCGGTGCGCCACTCGGAGCCTGGTTGGATGAACCGGTGACATGGGAACCGGACTTGTAATTTTGGGGGCTTAGGGTTTAGGGTTTGGGGTTTAGGGTTTAGGGTTTAGGGTTTAGGGTTGGCTGGCATTCCGCAAACGGTCTAAAAGAGTTGTCCCCCAGACCTCAAATCCTAAACCCTAAGAATCTGAAACCCTAAGCCCTAAACCTGCAGCCTTAGTGTCGGGTATACACGGTCTACTGTAGGGCTCCCCATAGAGTTTTAGGGCTTCCCAGGTTCTGCTGGGCCGCCGGAGGCATCGCCTCGCAGACGGGACGCGTGGTCTATGACTACACCACTCAAGTCCGAGAAGCTGGGTTCATAAAATCGCTCCTTTACGGGGACTTTCTAACTTTCCAAACTCCTCGGTTCATAAAATCGCTCTTTAAGGGGACTTTCTAACTTTCCAAACTCCTTCAAGGAGCCTTCTGTAAGTTCTAGTGAGGCTTCGTTAAGACTTTCGGTGACGTAGACCCAGAGGCCCTGAGGCGCTTTCGTTTGTTGTAGGCGCTCTTCCGTTGAGTGTGTTGAACTAAGCCGCCCATGCCCGCACCACGTGCCGAGAAAGACAGCTGCCGCTGCGTGATGCCGGGGCAAGCACTGACAAGACGGCCAGGAGGTGGAAGACGCCCCTCAGCTGAAGTCCAACCTCCGCTTATTGGTCCAAAAGTGAAATATGGGGGTTTCCGAAAATAGGGACCCTAATATAGTACCCCAAACAGTAGGATCCTTATTATAAGGACCCCCAAATAAGGTCTAATTTGGCCATGGCTCTCTGAAAAACCCAAAGCCGAGGCATGCTTTGCAGATTCAACGACGTGCTGTCGCCATTTTGCGGCGCGAGTGGCTGCAGCGCCGGCTACGACGGTGATTTCATGCAATTCAACCGTGGATCAGATGTCTCCTTCCAACCACGATTCTTCCTGCGGGCGCCGTCGGGACTCAGCAAGGACGGCACCTGTGTCTACTTCGGCGACAGGGTCGCCATCGCTGCCTCTGCAGATCAAGCCGAGACGGACTGCGGCTGGTATGGGCGCGGCCCTTAGTCCTCCAAACACAAGTTGGGTCTGAGTACAAGAGTAGAAAAGTAGTACTGGAAAGGTTGTACAGAGACCCCTAGCTTGATTTATCCTTTGCTAATGCCTGCACATGCCTGCACGGTCCAACGGACGAAAGCTCAAACTTATAGGGTTTATAGAGTCATAGACGTTCTGAGGACTCTGGGCTTCGGTGCGGTGTTGTTGCCTTTGCATCTCTGCGTTCCCGCTTTAGAAGCGGCTCTCGGATGTCCCAGGTGCAAGGTGGCCAGCGTCAACGAGGAGAGCGTGTCAGCTTGGGTCTTCACGGGCCAGTGGCTGGGGATCCTTACTGTTGATGGACAAAATCCTGCATGACCTTATATACCTAAACTATATGGGATTTATGGTCCTATACTATATTTGGGTCATGCAGAATTTCGTCCATCGTATGTTGTTGCGACTCCGGGTTCCCAAAAGCGTTGGAAGCAGGGCAACTTCAGCACGCAGCATGCAACTGTGCTGTATAGAAGGGGCTGTCGCAGTAGCTAGGTATAGCCCCCAAAGCCCCATAGCCCCATAGCCCCATCACCCCAAATCCCCCAAATCCCCCCACAACTCCCCCATATGGCGCCTTCAGGAGGGCGCGATGGCCTTCCAGGCAGGAGGCGAGAGCCCCACGCTTTTCTACCTAAGACCGGCCCTGGCGGAGTCCGGCTCCTACGACGATCCCTCCAGAGACTCCCAGCTCTGAGTGGGGCATCCATCCTAGGCCCGTGCTTAGGGCCGTGGTAGGGTTTTAAAGAGCGCAGGGTCTGACTTTGAGGAGTTTGGACGGTTGGACTCATAGCTGCGCTTTGCCTACTTCAGTTTTGTACGGAGGGTGCTGCAGAAGATTGAGGCGAAAGACCTCTCTGGCAGCCCTTTCCTTTTCTCGTGCTTTCTTGGAAGGCCCAGTGTAGACCCCTGATTGGATGAAGCCGCCCCTCCCCTTCAGAAGGATCTCGATCGGAGTCTCAGCATCAGGGGCCTTTGGGAAAGGGGTTTGTCAGTCCGGGGTCTACATATATAGCTTATAGCTCCCTTAGTCATGTCTCCAAAGGAGACGAACATGCGCGGCAGGCCGTATGTAGGGTCCGCATTGCCGAAAAGGTTCGCAGCTGCTCGTAAACCCTAAACCCTTAACCCTAAACCCCTCGTGGTCCCCGTTTAGATGCAAGGGTTCTCGGTTGTCGTGTCTGCCCTCCAGAAGCTCGCTAAGCCCTTCTTGGTCAGCCACAGCTTCAAACCTGATGCCACTGATCTGCGTTGCTTCTCGTTCATCACGCCTCGAGGAATGCAGGGTTGAAAGTTTTAGTCGAGCATTGAGACGGACCACTATATATACTATATATTATATATACTGTATATATTAGATATTATAAATTATAAATTATATATTATATATATTTTAGATTACAATAGACTTCGGGGCTTCAAGGTTATTATAGCGCAGCCTGAGTTCCATGGGTCAGAGAAGCGGGAACGAGTTAGAGCCGCCCGATTAGGGGGACCCGCCAAGAAAGTAGGCTGGGCCGGTTGAAGCAACTTCTCAGACTGCCTGCCTCTCGTCTAAGCCTAGAATCCCGAAGGACCTGTTCTTGAATGAAGAATCTGTGTTTGGATTCAGCGTAAATCTTCCCGACTACTTGGGAGAGATCATGGGACTGTCGAATTGGGATCCGTAGAGTGGTGTTGTGCCGACTTGCAACACTGATTCCAGTAAATCTTCGAGCAACCCTAAACTCCAAGCCAGTTCTTTTGCGGATGCATCGTGTCGGTGAACGCTGACTTCCCGGAGCCAGGCATGCGGGTGGGTTTAGGGTGTGAGGATTCAGAGTTTGAAGGTTCAAACGAGGGCGCAGACTCTGCATCCCTGCACCGGGCAGTGGCAGCTCGAGAGGGAGCACAGGAGGCGGAAACAGGGCTTGCCCCTTGTATACCCGTATACCCACCAGTGATGCACCTCCCAGAAACCGGCCCACCGTTTTCAGAAACCAGGTTCGAACATTATATCGAGATGGGGGTTTCCGATAATGAGGGGTCCTGTTTTAGGTTTTTAGTGGCTCGTTATACAAGGAATCTGCAGAATCCCATTACTTATACGAGGTCGAAATTGGGGGCTCCCTTTTTTGGGAGACCCCGATTTGTACGCCAGCCGGCAGGGCGAGTTGTCGGACATTTTGGTAAGTTTGTGCCAACATTCAGCGAAAAACAGTCCCATAATGTAGGGAAGGAGGACGGGCTCGTTCTAGTAGACATGCCTTACGAAGAAGTTTTGCCGAGACAGCATTGTGTGGTGCGTTTTGTTTGTTGGCCTGATGAGGATGCAAGTTTCTGCACATCTACACCGGAGGCTGGGGGCAGATTAACCCTAAACCCTAAACCCTAAACCCTATTGTTTGCGGAGCGTGCGGTACACGGTTTGGCTGTTGATGACTGCCGGCCGCTTACGCCAAGATACGAGTATTTGGGTTTAGGGTTTAGGGTTTAGGGTTTAGGGTTTAGGGTGCGACGGGCCTTCAGAATCAGCAAGGGGTTGGGGTTCACGGCGATGTCATCCCGAGGCCGGGAAATCGCCAGGACTTGAATTGTTGTTGAAGTCTCCCTGATTCTTGGTGCCTGCTTCTATGAAAGCTTCCTCGCTTTTCACGACCCTAGCCCTCATATTACCTATTCTTCCAGAAAACACAACAACTCATGCTTGCCAGCCATCCCGCGTGAAAAACACTTGGCCGTTCCCGAAAGAAGATCTGATTCAATGTTTCGCAACTTTCAACGACAGCATGTATTGCAATGTTTGTGAGGGGCTGATAACGGTGAGAAACAGTGCGCAATACTGTTGCAGAGTTCGTGCTCGGTAGGTCACGTGTCTCGTGGTCCTGCTCTTTTCCGCCTTGCTGCAACTAGGACCCCTCGCGGCTGGCATGCAGTTTGGTGAGGGCTTGCGTATGCGCAGATAGTTCATATATTTCATGTAATACTGTATTACTTACATCATTTTGTATATTTCTGAGATCGGCAAAAGTTAGATGCCCCTGTGTATTTGAGTTCTACTCCGTTATTTCCTGGAAATCCGTTTCAGGACCGCGTAGGCCTCGGCCTTTCGGGGTTCATAGGTAACGCAGTGGGATGCCCCGTCACGTCCGTTTCTTGATCTATGCCTTGGGCCCTTGGATGTTCAGGGCGCTTCTAGCCTCCTTGTATGTGTATCTAGTGATAAAGAATTTATGACCTAGGCTACTGTGCGGGGGGGGGGGGGGGGGCGCGCGCAACTGGCTTGTAGGTGCCGTGAGACTCTAAATCATGTGGTCAGGTGTGCAGATCGGCCACACGTTCAGATTACTCGGGTTATCATCGGGCGTGAAGTCATTTAAAGGATGTCATCGCTGCTTGGCTAGGATGACTTCATCCTGACAGCGCACGTCAACGAGAAGGCCAACTCCTTTGCAAACAACTGGTGCCATGGCTCAAGATTTTCTCTGGGCCAATGTGCCTGGTAGCGGGATAAAACGTGAAACCTTGATTCGGCCGATATCCCGTACAGTCTTTCAGTCCTCGACACCCGGGAACCTTTTCGGAAACACTGGTCCGTGCAGGTTCAGGGGGATGCCGTCGGCGTTTGTGGGCAATGCACAACGCGCAGTTTTCTGGGCAGTTCTGGAACCTGCAAGCTAATTGTGTTTGCCTTGTTGGGTTTGCTTGTCACAAAAAAGTGCACTGATTCTGACGGCAAGGATTCGCGAGTTTGAAGCCGCCCGTCCCCCTCCCCGACTTGCAACCCTGGCCCTGTCTCTGACCTTTTTAATGAAACCGATTTGTTCGAAAAACTTTGGACAAGCTGCGCATTATTGTTTGTCTCAACATCTCGACAGCTTCTTGGGTTTGGCGGTGCCAGGTTGGGGAAGAGGGAAACAGGTTGAGAGGCTGTGTTGTCAGGGTCAGGGTCATGGTGGGGTGAAGTGTGCCTTGTGTCGAGCGGGCTTTTCAGCTCTAGGATCCGCAAACCAGCCCCGAATTTCCTTGGACACTGTGCAATACTCAACACTCGCCACTACTGTAGCCTAAACGCAGTAGATCTCAGTAGCTGTGTAGACACACACTACATGTTTAGGATATCCTAGAGAGGATTGTAGATTATACACGTGTAAAGTATT